AAAAAAAAAAACAGAGTTAGAAGGGCCAAGAAATAGAGGACATAACCCTGTCATTTTTCGTGCTAGACAAATTGGTACTACGAGCTAATGTATAAGAGTTAAATTGAAGTATTAAACATGTATTCAACCAACACTTAGAATGAAAATTGAAGTATGGAATGAAAAAATATACAACATTGAGTGTCTTTTGGCTACTACTCATTAGAAGATCCATAATAGTTTTCATAGCTGTAAAGTAACACATAAGCTCCAGCGAGAATGGAATTATACTAAATTACATGAAATGCAATTTTGACAAGAAAACACTGAAAATTTTGGTGCAGAAGGTGGACACTCTACCATGACCGATATATTGAAAATAGTTCTCTCAAGTAGCAAAAGGAAAGCAAACTTGAATCTTCACACATAACTGAGTTTGCAAGGACAAAGAGAACATTTAGTAATCACCCTATTATCTTTTACCTTAGGTGCCCACCTGCGTACAAAGTAGGGAGAGTTGCCCTCCGTATCATCACTGGGTCTCTGTGACTGCACGCTCTACACAAATAAATGTATGATAATCAATTGTCATCACATCCAAATGACAAACAGAAGACTACAATTCATACCCAATAGAGAATACCATTTTTCTAACAAAGAATATTAGATCATCATCCTCACGTCCCCTTGACTCCTTGCTGTTGAAAAAATACAAGTCAATGATATCACGCCAGAAGCCAGAATCCATTTCTACATCGTCCAACGTTACATCCTCATCACCATCCAACACAGTTTTCCCAATCAATTTCGAGTGCTTCCGAACCATGCTCAATAACTCCTGCCTGCCAAGTTTCCATTATCTCAAAATTTTGAGCAAAAAACTTCGTCAAGAAGTCCCATAATACTCCTTAATTCTTTTATATAACCCTACTGAACATCTCCATAAGAAAATCACATTCAATATTCGTAGAAGTTTGCAAGCAATTGATGGCCTCAACCATATTTATCATTTGCGTGAAGGTATGAGGCGTTTACATGCATCATTGAACAAGGATATCAACTTCACAAGCTATCAACAAACAAGTAATTAATACTTAAAACAAAAACAACCAACTAACTGAATACATTAAACATAGCCAAAGGACTCTTGGGGCACTTGGACCATTATAAGGCATCATCATACGAATCCAAAACCTCGATTTCCGAGGTTTTTAAATCAAAATTAAACAAGAACAAAAAAAAAAGCACATGAAAAACTACTCGAAATGCCAAAGGGGAAAATAAAAAATCATAATAAACCTATAAAAGATCATACGAAGTGAGTGAGATTCGGTTCATAATATCAATTTCGGCCCAAGTTATTCAAACCGACACACACACACACACACACTTGCCGACTCATTACTCTGTGCCCTAATCGGAACAACTGAAGTTGTCTACGAATCAGAATTTTGATGTCTTACCGAGTTGGGATCTGCGATTTATCACCCATCATTGTTGACACAGAGTGAAGAAGATCAGTTATGTCCGCTTAACAGAGCACTCTAATTTGGAGTTTGATCTATAAAACGCACTTCGAAGAAAACGAAACCTGTTTATGTATTCGAGGGAAACACAACTACGTGCGTAACCCGTAATTATAAATACTCGACCCGCGCGTTGCGCGACTTAAAACTATTGGTCTCAGTGACATTAAAAACTACAACATACAATTGCTATGACTAATTAAGGGGGTTGTATTCAATTGCAACTTTTAGAGACTTTTTAAGACTTTTAGAATTCTGGTGTATT